GCGCACGGAGACTTGTTTGTGAAAGTAGCGGTTTTGAGTTGACTACCGGTATGACATGTGTTGAGGTATACCAAGAATCCATGACTAGTCCATTGCGACCACCGTTATAGGAGTATGAGAAGAGGGAGTCGATGCCGTATGCCACTGAGGGTGCGCCGTAACATTCGAAGAGAATTTCAGACATGGCTAAAGAAGAATTAGCAGATAAACGTGCTTGTCTTGGAATCTGCCCTTCACTTACTCTTCCTTGAGTATCCCAGATTGGCAACGGGCTCAGTCATGACGATGGGCCGGTCTATGCTCCCTGATGTTCCGTCTACACCCATCTTGATGAAGCAATAGTCCAAGACCCCCTCCATTGCATCCCAGTTGTTAATGATGTTGCTCCCTGGCTCGTAGATGGGCTTGGACTGGCCGCGCGCCGTCCCATCCGAATAAACGTCCGATCCGATGAAGGTGAATGTTCGGTTCAGCTTACGGTCACGATACCGGGCCATGTTGGGAAGCACCGAGAGCTGTGGTTTCGAGTCGAAGGACCATCCGGCGCGGACAGCGGACGAGCCTTGCGAAAGGTTAGTACCAGGTATGATGTCTTCCCACGAGGGATGGGGTGTGTAAGTGCATACCATTGTCAATTACTATAGCAGTCTCGTGATCGCTACGCTTATATCCTTCCGAGTCTACAGCTCTATACCCCTCGAAGGGGGGGTCTGACACGCTCCATAGCTTTGCAGGCGCGGCTTTGGATTCATTGAGCCCTGAGGCTGACGCATCGTAGGTCGCGGAAGGCGCCATTGTGATTGGGCGTGGTGTTGATTGCAAGGTAGTATCAGATGTTCATATCATATCGTGCGATCAAATTTGGGCGTGTGGGGGACACGTAGCGTGCTTGGTGAGAGGCGCACAAGGGTTGCGCCTCAGTTGGTGTTGAAGCTCAGTCGCGATCGCATTCGGAGGTCCGCGCACCATGTCCACATGTTTGGGATACCATGATCCATGGCAAGCCACCGATTGACTTTGAGGCACTAGCAATGCAGAGTAATTGAGATGGATGCCATTTTACTACTAATACTACTACTATGGGTATCTCTGTCCAATCCAAGTTTACATTTGCCCAAGCTCTCGTGGAGTCGTAGCGACTTGAATATATTATCAGCACGAAAAGACACGAAGCCTGCTGCTGGTCATGCACCAAACCCTTTGACACAGTCCATGCAACCTCCTGGACTTTGGACAATCACGCCGGGTCCTTCAGACCGTTTGTAGCTGTTTTCCTTAGCTACATCATATACACGTGGATTTGACAAGGCCTCACCTTCGAGGTGGAACAGCACATTAGACTGATAATTTTTGAACATCTGGGCGACCAACTCCGTATCCATGTTTTGAATGTTGATTTCCTGGAGGTTCTTGTTCAACATCATGATTGCCTCATTCAGTTTCTCCTGGGGTATTTGTTAGGATACATTGCGTTCAAGGCAATTTGTGGTGCACAAGACCTACCACATTAACAATGATGCGAGAGAGCAGTTGGCTCTGTTGATGCTCGTGTGGACTCTCCTGTATGCGCGTCAGGAGCATACCTCATTTTCGAGTGTTTACCGAAATATTCTCTTACCATGCTTGCGACTGTGCACTGTTGGCTGTGGTTTGCACGCGTTATGTTGTTTGGCGGGGGGGATCAATGTAGTTAGTGCGACAAGCTGTGGGTGAATCGACGCGGGCGGGAGAGCTCCACATGCCGGCACCGGTACTCCGCAAGCTCTCTCGTCGCCAGCTTCCACAGCCGCGTCTCAACTATTGCCTCTGACGACCACCCACGCAGAACACCGGGCAGATCTACAGCGCCTTGTATAGCTTTGTGAATTCTACCGCTGGATAGAAAACGCGATATCTTTCGCAACATGGCGCCTCTTACCAATGCCTCAGACGAGAAGACACACCAAGCCCTGCTGGACAAGCTGGACATCTATGCCGTCCACAAGCCCTTTCGCAATCCCAACTGGAAGCCCCCACAGCGCCGCAACAAGAATCTCAAACAAATCATCGGCGAAGCGACGCGCAAGGAGGCTTCCGTCATGGCAACGCAGAACAACAGCGGCATCTCAACACCTGCCGCGTCCTACCCAGAGACAGCCACACCCACTGGCAATGGCGGCCGACCGCCAAACATCGCCCAAGCAGCGCACAGTCTGAGCACGCTGGTCCTGGAGAAGAACGGCAGAGCTGCTGCGGGAGCCAATGGGGCCGGACCCGCGCCTACGTACACCAACATCGAGTCGGCACCGAGCTTTCACCCAAGTAGCCAGAAGAAGTATTGCGATATCACTGGGCTTCCTGCGCCGTATACAGACCCCAAAACACGGCTGCGATACTACAACAAGGAGGTGTTTGGCAGCATCAGGACAATGCCACAGAATGTCTCGGAAGGCTACTTGGCTGCGAGAGGCGCGCATACCATTTTGAAATGATTTGCCATATTGGTACATGCGCTTGTCGCAAACATACACTGCCCCAGGATGCGGAATGTTCTCTGGGGCAAAATGATACACGTGCCAGTGCGTTGTCCATGGTGCATCAGTCAATATCCATTGCTTTCGCTCATGAGGAATGTGGACCAGGGAGGGGGCCAGAGCGCAGCATGATGCAATCCCCCAACAGACAGCGGGTTTGTGCTATTCAAACCAAGAGGCTTCAACAAGGAGAATTCAAGATGCAACGGATGCATTCAATGGGCTGTGAAAGCTCCTGCTCTACTACCCAGACTTCTCTCTACCGACCACAAGAGCGGCAAAGCACAACCTATGTATGACCATCAAAGTCAAGCTTCTTCCACCCACCGCAAGCCTTTCGGCAAACGGCTCAAGAAGACGCTCCGGCTTAATCGTGATCCAGTTTTGTTCTTCGCCCGTATGACGGAATACCAGGAAACTCTAGGAGAAGCTTCTTAGTTACAGCAGCAATGAAGCATGCTGTGGTCGGGGCGGTTCCACAAAGGGTTGTTGCCGTAAAACAGTAGTACACACGGGGCTTCAGATAGGCACAGAACAATACCATTGATTGCTCCATTGTATCCGGATTCTTGCGCGCGCGTGTGTGTCTCAAGTGAGGACCTGACAGCCCCCAGACTTGAAAACCATTGACTCGAGGATGTGTGAGGTTGAAAGGAACTCGATCCCCAAAATTCTGATGCTGCGCTTTTGGCTGCGAAGAAACCGTGCGACGCTAGACAGGGGTCGGCGTTCAACGCGTCCTCGACCGGATTAGGGACACGAGACAAATGCGAGTGCGGTAGATGGGAAAGCCCATGATTGAATCTGACCGTTGTTGAGACTAGGCCACCACCTCTTTTCCTTTTCCTTTTCCTTTTCCTTTTCTTCCGTGTCGCTACTTGCAATTGCACATCGTCTTTCTCTTGTATCTGTTTACTTTGGCACGTTGCGCCCCATATATACACACGACATAAACCGCGCCAAGATGCCGACAATGTGGCTTTCAGATACCCAGAGTAGGTTTGCGCAAAGGCCATGTTTACTTTGTTGAATCCACGAGCAATATGGCGAGTAGACTGACATGCTACACAGAGATTGGGGTCGCCTTCTGCTCAGGAGGTAGGTACGCCGCCCACCACCACCGCCACCACTGCGCCGCCGAAACAATGAACGAACAGCTGACACAAACAATCACCAGGCGGCCTCTTCCTCATCGGCGGCGTCATGATGTTTTTTGATCGCGCAATGTGCGTAATCCCCCCCCTCCTCCCTACAATCACATATGATCTCCTACTTACCTCTCCCCCCACCCAGACCGGCCCTGGGGAACATCCTTGCCCTTGAAGCCATCACAACACCCCTGGGCTATTAGCCATCGAGCTGAAACCCTGCCTGCCACCTTTGACAAAGACAACAGCACACAGGGGCCCACGATGGTCACCTTCCAACACGTCGTCAACATCCTGC